AGGGTTTAGGGTTTGGTACCCTAAACCCTAAACCTAAACCCTAAACCCCTAAACCCTAAACCCTAAACCCTAAACCCTAAACCCTAAACCTTAAACCCTAAACCCTAAACCCCTAAACCCCAAACCCCAAACCTTTGGTTCAGGATGCCATGATCCGGGAGTACCAGGAAGAGATTAACCGCCTGAAGGTCACGGAACTCAGACGGGGGCGGTTGTCAAAAATGGGGTCCCTTTTTGGGTACCCTAAATATTAGGTGCCGTATTATATTACGGACCCAAAACGGGACCGTAATTTTGTCAACCACCCACGGGGAAGTCGGTTCGGGGTTTAGGGGTTTAGGGGTTTAAGGTTTAGGGTCTAGGGTTTAGGGGTTTGGGTTTAGGGCTTAGGGATTTAGGGTTTAGGGTTTAGGCTTTAGGGTTTAGGGATTTAGGGGTTTAAGGTTTCTTTGTTCCCCAATACTCAACCTTTAACTTTGTGGGTTGCTATGATTTAGTAGTAAGCTGAAAGTTTAACCTTTTATTTCCCTGGCTTACAAGGGAAGTAAGGTTTAGGGTTTAGGGTTTAAGGGCTTTGGGTTTAGGGCGTAAGGTTTAGGATAGAATCCCAAGTAATTTCCAAGCGGATTCTTTGGGGGTTGCTTTACCTAGCGATACCATATCAGCTAAGGCCCTTATGCTAGCGTGTTAGGATTTGGTTTTTGGGTGTAGGGTTTAGGTTTAAGCTTAGGGTCCGGTTGTGTAACTCCTTCGTCCCGTTGGGCTTGGGGATTTATGCATGGTGCTGTGTTGCTGCGTGTGTGAGGGTTTAGGGTTTAGGGTTTAGTAGGGTCTAAACCCTAAACCCTAAACCCTAAACTGTTCCTAAACCCTGAACCGTTTTGCATGTTTTGGTTGAGTCAGGAGGCTTTGGGATGTTCAGATCGTGGCTCGGCCTCTAAAACCCTAAACCCCAAAGTCTTCGTTCTCCAATACCCGAGCTTTGAACTGTTTGGGTTTAGGGTTTAGGGTTTAGGGTTTAGGGTTTGAATTTAGTAACAATCTGAAAGTTTAACCTTTTATTTCCCTGCCTTATTGGGGAAGTAAGAAGTCTATATTTCCTAACATCTCCAGAGAGCAAGCAGCCAGATGGTGGAGCTCTCTTGACGCCAGTGTTCTTAGGATTTACAGGTTTGGGGTTTAGAGTTTAGGGCGCTTCTTTTGAGGTTTATGAAGCATCCTAATAGATCCCCTAAGGATTTTTTGTAGATACGGCGTTTATCATGTCTGTATATTTTATTGCAATACAAACCCCAAAGGATCATTACAGATATTATGGCTATTTTGGTTCTAAGCCCTAAACCCTAAACCCAGACAGGCTAGCACAGGCTAGACCCAGCCAGGAGCCTCATGGGTGCAGGGTTTGGGACTTTGTTTTCGTGTCTTACCTGATGCCCTAGGTCTTAAGTTAAACTTAAACCCTACCCTAAACCCTGAACCCTAAACCCTAAACCCTAAACCCTAAGCCCTAAACTTAAACCCTAAGCCCCAAACCACCAAAACGCCTAAACATCTTATCCCTAAGCCCTTTAATTCTCTGAGCTGTGAAGTGGTTGCCACCCTGACCCCAAAGCCTTAGTCTACTTGCTTTTATGCCGTAAACGTCCGTAAGATTACCCTAAACCCTAAACCCTAAACCCTAAGCCCTAAATCCTAAACCCTAAACCCTAAACCCTAAATCCTAAACCCTTAGCCTTAAACCCTAAATCCTAAACCCTAAACCCTAAATCCTAAACCCTAAACCCTAAACCATTGCGGCAGTGAGCGGCAGTTCAGGCGGAACTGGAAGCTGCTGGCGGCGTGGATGGAGAAGAAGGGCATGTGCGCCAGCGAGAGGGGTTCGAGATTTAGAACTCCAGGGTTTAGGGCTAGGGTTTAGGGT